TCTTTGATGCTATGGTTTGTAATGTTCGTCATAACGCTTACAAACCGCCCTACTACACTGTCCGACATATGCCTCGTTACAACCCGTGCACAAAGCTGCATAAATTCCAGATTTATTCAGCTCCTCAACTTTGTCTTTCAAATTACTCTCCAAATCATTTGACAAAAAGAATGTAAGCCGATTTTTTATTCAAAATAAATTGCTATGCCCAGACGATAAAAAGCTAAATCAACGAACAGACGCGACAATACCAAAATCAAGGAATTAATCTCGCTTGATTTCAACTTGATAAAAAATATCTCTGTTGTTAGTTGAAAATCGTGTCAAGCCCTCAGCTCTGGCATCCGCTCAACTTTGACCCAAAAATGCAATTAGAGTCAGTACGAGGGAGGACGCTTTAATTTAAAAAAAAGAAGCGCGTGATGCATTTGTAACACTATTCGTCGTAGTTAAATGAATTCCCTGGATTAAATTTCAAGCGAGAGTAGTGTGTGGAACATCGCATCGGAGCGACAACCAAGAGATGCAAATGAATAACCTAATTTCATGGGAAATGACTGCTGCTATTTAATAGAATCTGGTTGCGAATCCTCGTAATGTGTAATGAGGGCTTACTCCGTCTCTGTTTCTATCGTATCTCTTGATGGCTCAAATTTTTTATGTGTTGGCCTAACATGGTGAACAATATGACAAAAACTTTACACACGAAATGTAACATTTAATGCGAGTCACTCAGTCTGCTAATTCACAAATAACCGTTTTCTTTTTCTCTTGTGGTTTTCAAATGAACCGGCAACTGTGGAACTGAATACTTTTCAAGTTCTTTATATAAATTTCTAGTGCATTTTGTAATCTCTTTGAAAATTTATATGCATTTAACTTGTTGACATAATTTTGAATGTAAACTGAATCAATTCCGTATCTAACCGATATACATTGAAATCTTCTTTTGATAAACGTGCCATTTTTAATTAAAAACAACGGGATTTTCATTGGTTTTGGGTGTTCACACACGGTGCTATGTAATGCAAAAAGCAATAAAATTATTGAACGATAATTCGAAATATAATAACAAACGACCAAACTAATTGTTCAATTGAAATTTCGGCATCAAAATACTGAAATTCATTTGGTGGCAGCAAATGCTGTGGTCAGTTTGTCGAATTCGATTTGTGGTGTATATCATAAACGCTTCGGTCCCGATTATTAGATGTTTGAAAATTATGTGTGCTATTCAACATCGCCTGTAATAATAATTTCATATTCAGTTGCCACAAATTTCAATCATATTTTGATTAAAATGGGTGCACCGAAATTCCCTTCTACAAATGGCCCACAGTCGCTAATGGTCTGTGGAATGGGTGCTTTGATGAAATAATCGGAGTACTTTGTGCAATGTGCACTAAAATCAAAATTCAGGCATTCCGAGTCATGAATTTTGGCCCATTCCATTTGATAAATTCTTGGAAAAGACGTATTTCCTGGGCTGCTATCGGTAGCAGAAGGCCATCAGTATTCTATTAGCTGGAAGGAGCTTATAATATTTTACGATGTCGTCGTTTCGACTCAGTCAGAGAGACGCACAGTGAAATATTGTGATGTGTTTTTTTATCAGTGTGAGCCGTGCGAACAACTGCCGCTGCTGTTCCCGCTGTTCGATAATAATCGCATTTATTTCTTTTTTTTGTATACGTGCCGCTGTTTTAAGTCAACATTTCGAAATACTGGGTCGTAAATAACGATAAGCTCAGTTTCCATTAACTGAAGATGTGCAAATGAATTGATATTGATCGACGTTACAGTGGCTAATTTTTGAAAAAGAAACCGAAAATCAATTTGCTATGCACATGATTAAGGTGCCGCCACATTGTGGAAATTCTTTCTACCGCGATGGAAAACAGTTTAATATTAGTTTCTAAAAGCCGCCCCTATTCAAATTGAACTATTTTCAATTCGAGCCGGAGCCTGTTTGTGGTTGAACATTTGGCAAAGTGAGTTCAGCGTTCGCGTTAACTATTGATTTACTCGAGTCAGTTGGCATTTTCAGTCAGACTGTTTAAAACAGCATATTTTAAATGGTGTTATTTCGTGGTTGTTTGCAATGTTTTCGCACCACTGATTGCAAAGTTGTGCTCTGCTAAATATATGAATTTTGACTGCTGCTTCGCAGTCAGCATGCCATTTGCAAAAATGGTTGCTAACGTTCAACGTGTAACCTGAATTGAAGTTCGACACTTGGTGTCTATGGGGGGGAGGAGAGATACTGTTAAATTGTGCGTTGGCATTTGAAATGAGTGGCGCTCTGGTTAAGCGCTTTAATACAAGTTCAAAATTTATGATTTTTGGTTTAATTAATAAATACTTACGGACGGTGGGTGGGCGGTACAGCCCAAGTATAACCGAGTATCATCTAGAATCCGCGAAACTGATTTGTAAAAATTATTGCAAGTTGTCGGTGGTGCGGCGGCAATGTGGCAACATTTTATACGTTGGATTAGAGCGTCGGCAATGGAATTCCCAACGAAACGTGTAAATTTGCTGTGTGCGTACGCGAATGGCGTTCATGGGTGCTGTTAGTTACGAATTGCAAAACGTTGAAGATGACGAAGTGAATGGCTGTTAGAGTGCTTTACGACTGCAGAGACACAAACTCTCTCTGTCACACACACACACATACAACAAGCAAGTGGCAGATGTGTTTTATTAGAAAATTTTAGTTCATTAATTCACTTTTATGACGATCATTAAATATTGTTAAGCTTTCATTTTTCTCGCTGCATGCTGAAACGCGAGCACACCTAAATGTGGACGGAAGATGACGATGACGACGACGACGACGATGAACAAAATGTGGAAACTTTTCAATGGCATGCCGCTTAGATTGCGGCTCTCTCTCATGAAAATAGCATTTTAAGCATACAAAGTGAAGTTGAGAAAATTGGAACGCATCGCCAGTGCCAGCAGTACATAATATATACACCGAAATATAATTGGGCATCGATGGATGGATGGAATGAAATATGTACGTCGATTTTTCGTTGAAAATTATCAGTAATAATGTTCCATATTGGATGTGCAGTGCAATGATTTTATGGCGAGTTTTTGTTTTCTTTCTTTACACCGGTTTCGCTTGTCTATATCCAAAGCGATTGCCACTTTTGGATAATTTAAAATTCCTCGATAATGGTTTGGTGGAAGCGAGCGTCGCACTGGAACTGTGTTCCGTGTAGCGTGCACGCAATTCATCTCCGTAATCGTCATCATCGTCATCATGCAGGATATACCTTTGTGGTCGATAGTAGCTTCGCGCGGCACGTTTTGTCGTTGATTTCGGTGTTTCGACACGCCTTAACCCGTTTGATGTACTGCCCGTATTCGGTGTCGAATGCTTAAAGGCCTTTTGCCTTTCGGCGCTTTTCATACTTTTAATGAATGATTGACTTACGGTTGTGCCGCGCAACAGCATTTGATCATCAAAGCTATTTTGATACATCCAATTTTCGGTGGCATCGCCTAAATTACTACTGCGGTTATTGTTAGCGATTTTGCTATTATTGTTGCTGTTGTTGTTAATTTGGTTAGTGCGATTCAGAAAGCGATTACCTAAACTATCGGTCGTGAATACGCTGGATGGCGGTGGTTCGTATATTTGTTCCGCATTGTAATTATTGTTCGTGTCATTTTTTGGATACCTTCGGTGTGTGTGCTGCTGGGAAAATCTTTTTGACCGCGGCTGCTGGTCGAAATTTTCTCTGAAATCGATATTTGTGTTATTAGTTTGGAACATTGTACTACTATTTAAATTGGCTGGTATGGCCGTGGACGCGTTAAATACTTTGTAGTCGATAATATTTGGTTGTGAGCCAAATAATTTTCGGCGATAATCGTTAGCACTGATTGAATCCCTTGGTTTGTTGCCATATTGTATTGTTGTGGTGTTGCCACCACGGCCGATATCATCGTCAAATGTACGGCCCCGTGTCATCCCAACGTTTCGCTTATTCGCATCTGAACTGCCACCCACTGGCCGCATTTTCTGTGCACTTTCATTCATTCGAATAATTTGTGAGGCTGGTATGAATTGTTCGGGAATTTCGTTGCCATCGACCACCGCACCATCGATGGGTTGAGCACGCGGCAACGTGTGTTTATTGTACTTTATGGTTGTTTTTTCGAAATACAATTTATTTTGCATATTTCTGGCTGAGGCAGCTGGGTCATGGCTTACCAGTAGTTCATCATCATTGATTTCTTGCGGCAAAGGTGAGAGCGGTGGTAGATTGCCAGTCATTACCATTGGCGGAGGCGGTGGTGTTGGTATATCGATGAAACGATGCACTCGATCTCTCATAGTCTGTTGACATGGCTTTTGTATCATCGGATTTATGCTAACGTCAGATTTGCGGTACGCTTGTTGCCTTTTATCTATGCCACCACCAACACCACCACCACTACTGCCATCCTCATTTGCTGCGTTATCAACGGCATTGGAAATGGTATGCAATTCGTATGGTTGTTCAGCGGCCGAAAAAATTACATCACTATTGCGATGCACTTCGGCCCCAGTTGGCGATGCACCTCGGCTTCGTGACATCAATTCGAAGTCATGTACAACTCGGCCAACGTGCGTCGTTACATCGGGAATGCCCAACGAGCCAGAAAATAGATCACGTTGATGTTTACTTCCATTCAACATCATGCTGTTCCGCAGGTCATTCTGTGTTGCTGTCGACTGCACGCACATAAAAGCGATTTACACGAATTTATATGCATACATTGCAAATAGATAACAATAATAAATTACAATTTTTAATAAAATTCGCTTGTTCGTTTGAATCGTTAGCATAAAACAGAAAAAAATGATAAAAATAAAAATAAAAAGAAATAGACAGAGAGAAACATAAAATATCAGGAGGGCGGGGTATTTTTCCAAATTTCTAGTTGAAATACGCGCAATTTTTACATACTATAGCTTCGTAGGGCGTAGGGAAATAAATGGATTTTTTGTTTTCTTGATTTTGTTTTTCTGGTGTGTTTTTTTTCGTTTTGTTTCTTCTCCAAAATATGTTTCTGCATTTTCTTCTTCGTTTCACATTCTTTTCTTATTATTCATTAGCATTTTTGAGATGGAAATCACTATTGATTTTGGTTCGTCCGCTTCATTCCAACTGTAATCCAATCTTGATTGATGGCAAAAAAAAATGTTTTATCGAAATTATTAATACGTGCTGCAGCATATCCAATGCAAGCTCACCAATTTAAAAAGGATAACAATCGAATAGTTACCAACGAAAAAAAAATTAAAAAGTTCGATGAAATATCGAACGAAAACATCTGCAAGTTTGCATTAAACTGAGATAATGCTAAAACTTTTGTGAAATGAACTAAAAAGAAACCGACATCCATCCCTAATGGTTGCATCGTATTGCTGTATACACATTATTATGTATGCCTGGAGCAATTTCAGTTAAACGGACATAGTTTTTAAATTCTCTGACATTGCAAAAGGAGTCGATTTTGATTATCTGTTCATTAAACCATCAAATATCAAAAACTCTGTCTTCAACTTCGATGCACAGCGCACATGATGGCTGATGGATGATTTGGAGCAGATGGAAGTGAAATAAGTGCAAAAGTCAGCTCGTAATTGAGGTAAAAGAAATTCAAAACTTTTCACTCAACTCGAACAGTGGAGCTTTCGATCAACTTTATCGCTTGATGTTTTCAATTATTCGAATTTGTTGTTACTTTATGAAAATACTTGAAATATCCTGAGCTCAATATAAATAGCGATGCGAGTCTCTTGGCTCTGCTGGAAAAATGAATAGAAAACTTTTGCTAACATTTAATGCTTGGTTCTTTGAAGAAAAAAAAAACAGAACTTCCCATTAAAACATTTATTAAATGAAACATTTTCATTTTTTTTTCTATTCGATTCAATCGCATATTTCGTAGAAGGCGGAAGAACCAAAATTTCCAATAAAATGAATTAATTCTGTTCTGTACAACGGCAGAAAAAAAAAATCTATATAAATTGAAAAAAAGGATCGAATTTCGTTTCGTGTATGTACAAAAATGAATGATAGAGTTAACAGTATTGGAACGCAATTAAAATAAGCGAACTGAAAATCTAAATGGAGACTCTTACGCGAACGAAGCACAATAAAATAAATACAGTTTCAGTCTTACAAATATAGAACAAGAAGTTCATGATATTGTTAAAGAAGAACGAAATAAAGAGGAAAATGCTTGATCAATGTAATTTATACAGCGAGAAAGAAAGAAAGAAAGAAAGAAGATCGAGTTCATATTGAAAAAGAAAATGGAAACGTAACAAACTAAAAATCGAGAAGTAACAAGAAGAACGAGTCCACAAACGAAGTTCACTTTATAAAAAAAGGGCCAAGAAGAAGAAAAACAAAATCAACCAAACGAACGAATGTTTCAAAAAGAATAAAAGCAAAAAAAAATATCTGAATGTCGAGTGTGGTTAGTGATAAAGACAGAAATATAAAGGGAAAATATGAGTGTGAAAATGGTTTTAACATGGTCTTTTATACAGAATGTAACATTGTGGGTGTGAAATTGTGGAGGGGTTTCGTGTAGATGAATAGAGATTATGATGTGTGCTGGTTTTGTGGTTGGTGTTGTTGTTGTTGTTGTTGATTTTCATTAAATTTGGTTAGTGTGTCGCTTTTCGCTTCTTTTTACAATGAATTTCTATGAGCATGAATATTCAATATGTGTGTGTATGTGTTTGTGTGTGTGTATTAGTGTGTTTAAGTAAATCATCAACATAAAAATTGAAAAGAACAGAATTACGATAGCGGTTTTGTTAAATACAGCGTTTCTTTTTACATCCTTATAGTTAATATATATATATATGAATTACGAAATAATTTCTGAAATTGTTCTCTTTTACATGGTTGTTGTTTTTTTGTTCTGAAATCCAACGATTGAGGAGACAGGAACAAGAGCGAAATTTGGCAATTTGAATGTGACTAATTTCCAATGAAAAGCGAATATTTTGTTAGTCATGTTCCTGCTCTCCTGAATTAACGAAAAAGTCGCAATTTTCATCCTAAATTTAAAATACGTGAATAATCTCTATGCAAATGTTCGTGTTTGAATGTGTGTTCGTGTGTTTGTGTGAGTGTTCACAACCAAAGCATTTGATTCGTTTGTCTTTCTGACCGTTGAATAATAAATGTTGATCACACACGATTATAATAGTTTTGGCTTGGCGTACGCTTCGTTTGATTTTTTTTTATTCTGCTAAAACTAACCGCGTCTGCTACATCGGGGAAAATTTGGAAATGTTCGAAACTACATCGAAAGCCACCGAAAAATTGTTCGATCGAAAATAAATTAGCTGTGTCTATCTTTTTTGGCAGTAGGTTGTAGCCTGAGTGGTGGCGGCGATGGGGGATCGGGCGATGACATGTGCAAACTGTGTGGTGTGTTTTGTGCTGCAGTCTGTTTGTGTGTGTGATTGTGGTGGTGTGTTGTGGGTTTTTTAGTGTGCTGGTGTTTTTTTGCATAAATCGGACCGGAGGCCGTGTGCTGTTGCGAACGAATGCCCTGTGCAGAATGGTGTTTACGATGTTGCTTCTTGTCGGCCGGCGATTTATATGCATTGTGTTGCGATTGTGACGATTTTGGCCGATGCATTACATAGTCGGCCGTCGCATAATCATTGACAACGGGTTTTTTCCTACAATTGGCCGAAATCGCCATTGCCGCCACCGCCGATGCCGTTGACGATGTCGCCGTCGCCGCCTCATTTGGCAAATAATCGCAAACATTCAAGGTCGAACTGCTGTCCGAACTACTATTTGTGCTGACGCAACTCAGCATGTCAATGGACGTGCTTGGCTGATTCAAACGCATCGAATAGTCGCTCGAATCAGCGATCTCTTGACGATTGTACATCTTATGATAGCCACCGCTTTTGCCAGAATCGGTCGACGACGACGTTTTGGCATAATTTTTATTGGTATTCTTGAGCTTTGCTTCGGCCGCACTAATCGCTTTCGGTTTGATTATATCGTTTGTGATTTGATTTGCAATCAATTTGCTTGTGATTTTTGCATTATTACTACTACTGTTCGAATTACAATTGTTATTGTTCGATAGCGATGCCGACGATGAGAATTTTTTCATCGACACATATTGGTTATTCGCAGTGCTTTGATTAATGCTGGCAGTGGTGGTTAGATTACTATTACTATGACTAATTTGATTGGAGTGATTTGACGGGTGGTGGTGGTAAATAGGTTCACGTTTCTGCTACACTACGTGGTTTACATGGGTCCCAAATGTACGAAGAACTGGCATTGCCTACGTAAGAGAGATAGAGAGAGACATACAATTTATGTAGATTCAAGGTTTTGGTTTTGTTTTTTGTTAGAATTCAGACAATATTGAAATTGATTGAAATGATTGTTTATTGTCTTTGATTTTATTTTTGCTTTCAATTCTTTTTTTTTCTTTACTTTTTGGATTTCGAACCATAAAAATAAAAACGACGCTCTTCCTATCAATCAAATGCCATTTGCCCGTTTCACGTAGAGAATCAACGAATTGAATTGACTTTTATGCTCTCGGGCTATTTTTTTTAATTGATGTATAAAATTTAAACCATTTGTTAGCATAGCTATAGCTACAATCCCATAAGGTGTATGTGTATCTGAAGCTCCATCGCATTCAATACTTTTTACTCCTCAAAGTTTTTGTGCACGACATTTAAAAACTTGTGGCAATGCTCGTACAAATTTCCGATTGAATTCCGAGTCGAAGTATAACTAAGTGACTGGCGAAGTCTGGAAAAATACAGTCAAGTTTTTGCAACTTCAATTTTAATTACAGCTCTCAAATTGAAATAACAGCGTCTGTCATTAAATCAGCTGCACGAAATTCCACATTTTTCGTCGTTAAAAATCGTTCGCATTGTTTTTATTGCCACAAGCACGACCGCCACATGGATAGCACTGTTATCGGTTGTCGGATTGAATCGGAAAATTGAAAATAATTCCGAATGCCGCAGTGAAATCAATCAAACTAATAAAAGAGTGTTTTGTTTTATTGCCGATTGCGCGGGCGAGAGTGGAAAAAAATGACTACTCCAATTAAAAATGATTCGAAATGCTAACGGAAATGAATTTCAGCGCGTTTGATAAATAAATATAATGCTCTCAGCCTCAGTTCAAAGCAATTTCGAGTGGCGATTCATTCTATGTGATTTCCGATTTTAATTAATTTCATGCGTTGTTTTTGCTTTTCATTTCGAAGAGGCAATTTATTTTTCATCAAAAGCGGTTCAAGTGCTAATGAACTTCGGCCAGCGTTCGTCATGATGAGTGGAGCGGGAGGGACAAAGACTTTTATTGGCGAAATATTTGCAGTGGAAAAGTAATGGAACTGACGAATGACGAATTGTTTTCAGATTTAATTAAATCCCACGTCACCATAATTGACGAATGACACATTGTTTCAAAGTGCTTGAAATGCGCGACAGGACCCCACCATAATGTTCTACTCGTAATTTTTTTTTCACTTCTCTCGACCCGGATCTGACACGGATTCTTTTGATTTCGAATTTGATTTACTTCTCTCGTCCGGACCAACAGTACCAAATGTAAACTCACTTCATCGAATTTATTTAAATCACCAAGCTTCAGTCAGTTTTTGGACTCAGTCTCGTCTCTCTCACATCATTTGTGTTGCAAATAAATCATATACCCGTTTCCTGGCGATTCAACGCGAAATGCACCCGCATTTGCAAAAAAAAAAAAATAATGAATCCGTGGTGAAAAACCTTCATCATTTCCGTTTTACATAAATCCAAAATGAATAGAATTGGAACAGAAGTGTGCGAGAAAAAAAAAAAAAAAATGAGAGCGAACGAGAGAAAATGGGATCGGGTACGCTCATGTTGCTCTCGTCGTCGCAATTCAAATAGAAACCATCTCATTTTTCATCAACTCAACCATATTGACCGCTGTTGCAATGGCAAATACGACCGACGGCGCCCGACTCACAAACGGTTTTCCACTGAATACAGTGAGATACGGTATAATTTCTGAACAGCGCGTTTTTCCTCTTCACCAAGTCGCGTTCCTTTTTTCATTTTTCATCTCCGAATGCATCATTTAATTATTATTTTAGTTCAGCAATAAAATTGCAATGAGATGCACATTGCTCGGGGAGCAACAGCAGTAGCAGCGGCGGAAGCAGCAAAAAACGTTAATCCATCGGGAAAATTATAAACAAATTGCTGAATAAAACATAATGAAAATTTAATTGTTTTTTTCCCTTTCTATTTAGTCGATGTGAATGAAGATATTGCCGACAGATTCGTTTCGTTTCGTTTGCATTTTATGTTTCGTCAGTGGCAGTTTTAAATTAATGTAATTTTGCTAGCAGTGCATTCAAATAAAACTGTATTTAAATACTACGGCGAGATTCGGGGTGCTGAAATGATGGGAGAGTGAGACCGAAAAAAAAGAGTGAGCTGAACCATTTTCCATGTGGAAAATATGTGCGAGTGCTCAAACTGCATTTTCGAAAAACACAAAAATATGGTCAGTTGATTCAAAGCCAGATAATATTTGTTGCGAAAAGTTCATTTCATTTGTAGTTACACCGCATGCTGGAGTTTTATTTTGCCATGAAATATAACAAAAAAAAAATACACATCCACACACACTTTATACAATGCAAGAACAAATTGCCGGGCTGCTTCACCGTTTTGATTGAGAGCTACAATTTTGCTATGACTAAATAAACAGTTTTGCCTGGTGTTATTGTTGGTGGCGGTTGTACGACGTTGATGAATTTTCCTGAATTATTTGATATTTATCCAGCCGTGAATTCTCCATGCTGTGCTCACAGCCTATTGAGACTGAGTGTGGCCAAAGTCAGTGTGCTATTATACTTGTATATATCGATTTGGATGTGTGAATTCAGTTTTGCTGGTGCAATCATTTTTGCACCTCAATTTGATGGGATGTTTGATAAGTTTTTTTTGCAATGGTGCTGGGTTTTATTAACTGCTCGAATTAAAATGACTTGAGCAACGGAAACGATATTGATATCCATCGAACCGAGTTACTTTTCCGAGAGTGTTTGGAATTTCACTTACTGTGAAAAATTCTGTTAATCATGAGTGGATGGATGCGAAAAGAATTCCGTACGACGAATATGCATATCAAAACGTGTGCAGTCGAGAATTCCAATAAGCGTATACAATTCAAAGTGTATATCATTTCCAATGGAATAAAAAAAAGAACAGTACACATCCCGTTTTTTTTTCTGCCATGATTATTGGCTGTTGTGTTGTGCCGTGTGCCAATACGATTTCATGAGTTTCAAAAATCAACGTCAAGTCAGTTGAGCATCTCACTGTGAATAAATCGTCTTCATCTTGTCTGCAGTTCGATGCATTCGAATGCTTACTCATTGTAACGATTGAAAATTCAATAATAAATGTATCCATGTGACTGTGTGTATGTGTGGGTGTGCTTGTGTGCTGGTGTGTGTCTATCGGATTGCTTCGCATGAATACATATCTCAGCATGCACATCAAATAATATTTACGTGAAATGCAATTTCACAGCGAAATGTGTAGCTACTTCTGGCTATCTCTTCCGAAATTCCACTTCGATCTACTGAATGTGGCAGACCCATTTTTATCCCGGAGCATTTCATGAGTTAACGAGCGCTCTAAGCAGAGCGTAAGTAACAGAGAGGAAGGGTGGAAGAGCCAACGAACTTAGCTTTAGTAAGTTTATGTTTGCTGCAAACAGCAACAGTATTTTCCCTCTCTGCGAGAAATGACTTTAAGCGGTTATGCACAAGGCGACATCAGAATCTCAATGGAAATTCCTATGCAATGGTCGTTGCGATGAAGCAAACAAATCGAACGTTCGCCCATGCACACACACACACTCGTACAACCATGCACATTGCACAGTGTCTGCAAAAATATCGTCAGTATTTATCTCTTGGGCATATGAAGCAAATAGAGAAAATGAAATTGTATCCATTTTATGTGCAAACGATGCTCCACAACGCCGCTCTCTGTATGAATACGTTCGCTTTGTGATATTCAACAGCAGCAGCAGCAACAACAACATAGAAAATAACGAAATAAAAACAAACAAAAATTGAATTCGAAAATCGAATGGAAAATGGAAATGAACGAGAAAAAAAATGCTCCCGGATCGATGTAATTAGTTCGAAAGACAGACAATGATGAAAATCGAATGCCATGCACCATTGAGCATTATTTCATTTGTGCGATGCTTTTCTTTTCGGTCTGTGTGTGTTATTCCTGTATTGCTTGTTTACCCTTTGGTTTTGCCTCCGATGCGAAACGACAGAAAAAAAAGTGATGGAAACACAAACGAATTTGGTTGTTGATAGCGGCATTGTTGTTGCTGTTGCACCCCGTTGTTGTTTGTAACGCTGGAAATGTGTTGGATCAATGCAAAATGCTTGAATCAACAGAATAACAAACACATTTCCCAATACAGTTTTAACAAGGTCAGCGCATCGATTTTCAAATCTCTGTGCCCAATTAAACCATTAAAATACATTCGTTGCAATTGTTTCGATGGCAAATAGATGCAACTATTGGTTTTGACCATCGAAACGAACTCTCGAATTTTGAATTTTTTTTTCTTTCAAATTGTTTTTCGAAATATGAATTCGCTTAAATCTGGCGAATGACCACTGTGCGTCGCTGTTTTGTGTGTAACCATTAAAATTCATTATGTGCGAGTGCGGTGGCAATAATAATAATTTTTGCCTTTGTTTTTAATTTGGTTCACTCGTATTTTTCGCGTGTTGTGATCGCGCCGCACGCATGCCCGTATTCACGCCAGTATGGATTAATGCTGCGGGTGTGTGATTCGCACATGCGAGAGTGAGATATATTTGACTGTTTGTTTTTTCGCTTCACAAAACGAAAATAATAATCGTTATCACATTAGAGGGTGTGAAGCATTGAATTTATGCGAAGCAAATGTGTTTATGATCCGAAAAATGGTCGTGGCCCATTGTCGCGCAGATGATGCTGACACTCTCAAGAGTATGGACAATGGCACGAGGCGATGATGATGTTTGTATGCAATAAAAATGTCATCAAAAACCGCAATTCGGCTGGAAAAAAGTGTAAAACTTGACAATTAAACGCGCCAAATAAAATAAATAAATTTTATGAATGACGTTGCTAGCCGCTCTCGCCTCTCACCCTCACGGTTTTTTTTTCATTGGACCAGCTGTTGTCTATGCGAGGAAATTTACAATTTTTATTTCGGGTGAAAATGGAGAGACAG